TATTACCTTTTTCAATTCAAAAAATAATTTTATAAAGGAAACCGAAATAACGATCACATCACTATTATCACTGTTCAATCAGCCTCAATAGATATAATTAAATATTCTATTACTTTATTTTCTAATAAAATATTACCTTAAGAAACAGTACAATTTTAATGAGACCGGACAGAATATAGAGTTTGCGTTCAATATTTTCTCTATAAATACCATTCACAACCCTTTTATCTTCTCCTCACCACCACCACAGCCGCCGCTTCTATCACCACAACCGCCGTGTTACACATACTAAACCCTCTTTTCTTCACCAAAAATGGGGATCAAGAAATCAAACAAACTCCCTCAAGCAGCACTCATTAAGCAAATCCTCAAAAGATGTTCTAGTTTAGGCAAGAAGCATGGATACGACGTCGATGGCCTCCCTCTCGACGTCCCTAAAGGCCATTTTCCGGTCTACGTCGGCGCTAATAGAACAAGATACATCGTTCCGATTTCTTTCTTGACACACCCTGAATTCCAACGCCTACTTCGTTATGCTGAGGAGGAGTTCGGATTTCATCACGAAATGGGCCTCACGATCCCTTGCGAAGAAGTGGTTTTCCGATCTCTTACCTCCATGCTCCGGTGAGGTTGTAGGGTTCCGCGGCGATCGGTTTCAGAGCACAAACCGCCGTGCTCCGGCCATATTGAAGAAAGATGGTGTTTAAAGATGAAGCGGCATTTTCCCTTGGCTTCTTTTTTAAGGATTCCAGTTTTCCAGAGAAAAAGGTTTTGAATCCAGAGAAACGTACAACTTTCGATGAATGAAGTACGACTCTGAGATTGAAATTTCGAACTCTGAGAAAAAGGATTTCCTTTTTTAACCATATTTCTTCATTTTTGTTCTTTTTTTTTTTAAATCTTTTTTTGCTAACTCTAACCCAAAAAACACCCATTTAATATTTTTATTTATTTTTAGATTTTTGGGTTAGATGAATGTGTACAAATGAAATCTTGTAATTTTTCTCATTTGTGGTGTAAATTATTTTACACCCTTTTGAGAGTGACCCAGTATTATGAAATATTTTGTGGTTTCGGTAAAATGTGTAAAGAGTTATCTATAAATCGTTATAAATGTTGCAATGCATCGGTTACTTAACATATGATCGTGATTTAGTTTTTGAGTTATCATATTTAGTTTTTTTAATTAATAGTCCGTACAAAAAAACTAATATTTTAGTTTTATTAATTACATTCTCACATGCAAAAAAGTTGGTTAGTTGGAATTGTAATAAATATACAATATTATGGTTCTCAAAAACCAATAACTTCTTAAGATCACGTAAAATCGACTCACATCGTTTTAAATTGGTTTTAGGATCGGTAACTGTAATTATGTTTAATTCTTATAAAATTTATATTAAACAATATTTTCAGCTAGAATAGTTATGCATGGAAAGAATATTAAACATTATTCGAGCAAACACCGTAGGCAGAGTAAGATGCACGTGGCGTATGTAATTTGGGATACGTTTAACGTATATAAAACTTAATAAAATGATATTATTTTGAGTACAATTAGTGCATATAAATAAACCTGCATAACTGCCTATTTTCAGTTATTCGTTGTAAATTTATGTAAGATGGAATAATATGATACTCACAACGAAATAATAAAAGTTCAAATGAAATCTCTGATTTAAAATAAATCTTTTGTAGTTCTTATGGACTTCAAATTACACTACTACACAAAGCCTTATTACCTACAATAACTTCGAATAAAATCCATGGGTAATTACCCACGGGTTTCCCACAACTATAAAAACCATAATTAAAAAAGCAATTGTTATGGATTACACTAATACCCATGGATGATGAGGCTATACGGTGTGGCTGCGGCCTGGGACCGCGGTTTGTGCCACTTGGACCGCGCACACCGCCCCCGGACCGCGGTCTTGCACGGTTTTGGCCGCACTGCGGCTAGTATGTACCGTACCATGTGATTGGTAGATGGATATTTGACCGTTGAATGTTTCCTTGGGCGTAATTAATTTTTTTTTTCTTTTTGCCTTTCTTTCCTATATATACATATTTACTTCATTTGTTTTTAACCACAATACAATCTCTTCTCTCTCTCAACATTTTTAAAAAAAAAATCACCACTCTCTCAAAAATGTCATCTTCATATTCTGAAGAATTTCAGACTATTTTTGATATCGCTATTGCGTGTGCTCAAATGGCGGAACAAACATACAATGTTCTATGCAACAACACAGCTGCAAGTTCTCAACGGAGAACACGAAGATATATTATCAGAAATCGTGAAGAAGTCAACCAACGTTTGGTGCAAGACTATTTTGAAGAGAATGCCACTTATCAAGGGAATTATTTTCGTAGGCGCTTCAGAATGTTCAAAGGTTTATACGAACGTATAGTTGAAGATGTAACGAGGGAGTGCAGTTTTTTTCAACAAGGTTACGATGCTAAAGGTACACCCGGTTTCACTCCCTTACAAAAATGTACGACCGCACTTCGTCAGTTAGCATATGGCATTTTGCCTGATGCGTTAGACGAAAGTTTTAGGATGTCTGCTAGGATTGCACGAGACAGTCTCCATTTTTTCTACAAAACTGTGATTCAGTTTTAAGGTCCAAAATATTTACGTAAGCCTACACGTAATGACATCCTGCAATTGCAAGCTCATCATGATAGTGTGCATGGGTTTCCTGAAATGCTAGGAAGCTTAGATTGTCTCCATTGGGCATGGGAAAATTGCCCTACATCATATCATGGGCAATTTATCCGAGGTGATCATGGTCACCCAACGGTCATACTTGAAGCAGTTGCATCACAAGATATGTGGATTTGGCATGCTTTT